CCTGGGTAAACTACCAAAAGGCATAAAATAGGATCTTCTGCCAACAATAAGCAACTGCAATTATAAATTTTATATGGTTCTGCCAGGGATAAAACCCAGGGTCTTACAGGTACTAGGTAAGTACCTTACTGTGGAGTCACATCCCCTACACTTATAAACAAATGATTACACTCATATTAAGTGCTTTCATAATGGTCTTCCCTTCCCTTCCCAAAGAGCTTGAGGAACCTCTTGACAGATGCTCATTATAAAGCATCAAAATTTATAGACTTCTTAAAAGGAAAAGAAAACGTATTTCATCTTCTAGTAAAACTAATTAAGTTAACTGAAATTACTCACCATCCTTCAGAGAGAAACCTTGAACGTGGTTTCCTAAGGACACTCTTTTAACACTAAAACCAAAACTGGGATTCCAGAGACAGCCCCGCCCCAAAGTTACCTAGTGCTGGAACCCCAACTCAAGAATTCGTGAGCCACTATATCTAACTTAGTTCCTCTGACTACTGTACCTACCATCAAAACTAAAGTCTTTTTTTCCTCTGACTCCCTAATTCATATGCTTTCATCCTTCATTTTATTCCTGAAAAACACATCAGGATTTCCCTAGCACCACCAATAAATAATTACCCACAAATCAAGTACATTAGCTTTGCCCCAAAGTATATTTCCCTTAAAAAGATCTTTCTTCAGGTCAGGAAAGATGATACAGCAGACGGAGTACCTGCCATAAACAAGGTTGACCTGGGTTCAATCCCCAGCACTCCGAATGGTCAAGCACCTACAGAAGTGACCCCTGAACACAGAGTACTGGGTGTGGCTCAAAACCACACACACACACACACACACACACACGCACGCACACACACACACACATGCACGCACACACACGCGTCTTTCTTGATCACTAAAACAACCTGTTAGTAATGAAACTATAAAAATAAAGATTTGATAACTACTGACATACTACCAGGGATACATACACGGTGAAACAGTTTTCTAACAAAGACAACAGACTTTGGATTTCTCATCTACTGCGCTTTGAAAATAGGTCTGCTGACAGACAGCAAGGAATCTAAACAAACAGCAAAGTTTTCGACCTTTATGCACACATTCTATAATACACAAATGCTCTGAAAGGAACTCTCTGAAATATCCTGCTGCTATCGTTTGTACAACTGCCGCACACTTGATTCACGATATAAAAATCTACGCTATGAACAGGAAGAACCGCTTCAGGTTAGAAAGGCAACAGGTTACAAAGGCTGACGGGGCTTATAAACACCAGCCACAGTAGCAACAGGCTTCAGCAGTGCCGAAAATGCTATTCTCGCAGCTGACCTTTGAAGAGCTATTCCCTGCTTCTCAAATTTCTTATATTTAAAGACTACAATTCAACCCTACGACTCACTTATAAAATTAGCCTCTGACGCATGACGATCTAGAAGTCTTGTCCTGTAAGCTGCCCGCCGCTTCCCACTGCATTTGCAGTTCAGAAATCTCTTTCATAAGATCTCAGGAGGCTGCTGCCTCCCCGGCCCTGGCCCAACACAGTCTATTGAACAGACTTCCACTCTGCGAACGCGGGGACAGTGTCCCAGCCAGGGGCTGCTCTTCAGTCCTGCCATGTCTGCAAGCTCTGTTCTCCAGCATACACAGAACTGAGGTTCCCAGCAAAGCTGCTGCACCAATCAGGGAAGGGTGCCTAGCTGGCCTCAGAGGGCTCTTCCGGTTCTCAACTTACACAACTACCATACCCACAGAGGTCAATATTTCAGGAAAGAATTTATCCACATTCTCACACAGAATATACAATTAGAAAGTACCTTCTAACTACACCCATCTGGCGCCAGAGGAATAGCAAGAGTGGAGAGGAGGCTCACCTTGCACCAGGCCGACCCGAATTCCACCCCCAGCACCCCAGATGGTGCCAAGGCCCGCCAGGAGTGATCCCTGAGCACAGAGCCAGGAGTAAGCCCTGAACACTGCTGGGTATAACCCAAAAACAAACAACAACAACAACAAAACCATATATACATTCTTCAACCCTGAAATTCCAGGGATGAAATCTGCCCTGAAAAAACACATGCTCAGAAGACATTTTTGGTGCCAAAGATTAAACTTCGGGTCTCACACTGCAATGCTCGTACTCTACAAATCCTCATCTCTGCTTCAGAACACAGCCACTAACATCATATGTAGTAACAAACTGGAAACACCTATTATGGAGAAGTAAATACAACATGACATGGTCCTATAAGATACTTTGCAACAATTCAGAATAAAGGAAATCATGTATTCATTTGCCAGGAAAGACTTATACTGATATCCCCCAACCCTCCCCATCCCCGCAAAAAAAAAAAATTAACAGAACATTAATGTTTATGTCATTTATGTACAAAGACGTAAGAGCACTGTACAGTAGGGAAAAGACTGTGGGATCTGTCCAATACTATAGAGATGTGTGTGCCTCCTCATCTCTAGACTGGCTCCTAGGGCAGAAACTAAACTTTAAATTTTATTGAACCATTTTCAATAGCCACGTGTCGTACGCTGCTACAACACTCCACAACCTGGTCTGGAAGCACAGTGCAAACTGGTGACAACGGCCAAGTTCCTCACGAAGATGCACCTGGAGGTTAACTGCCTCACCTGCATCACTTCAATTTTTAATGAAAGTAAAATCTTTTACTCTGCATAGAAGAATGTATTACCTTGTTGATACTAAGCCAGAAATCTGCCAACGGAGCATTATAGGAGAAACTATATTTTCTCTTGTTTCTGCCCTTTCTGGGAAAAACTGGCAGCTTTTCCTAACAGTTTCTTTTACTCCACATTTCCTCATGCATCCTTCCCAACGACTCCTCCACCCGCACTTTTTTATACAGCTATAACTTGCTGGTGGATGAGTGACCAGGTGTGAAGGAAGCAGAATATGCTCACTGGAGCAGAGGTGATGGTCTGCGACCTCTCTGTGCAACAACCTTCCCGAGACTATTTTAAAAAATTATCACAGGGTCTTAAGGTTTTCTCCTCTGAGCCAAACCCTGACCCTAGTCAGAAAAGGCTCTTTCACTAGTGCTCAAGGACTCCATGGTGGTTGCAAACAGGCAGAATCAGGGCAAGCATCTGAGCACTTCTGAGGGGCAGGGCAGAGTCATCGGGTCTCCACCCAGACCCCCAAGAGTATCTAGGAGAGCTACCAAACAAAGCCAGGCAAGCACAAGGGAAGAGTAACAAACAGGACCCAGGCCAACAGTCTGTCCCCAAACCAAAGGCCTTGTCGCTCAAAGTTCTACCTGCATCAATAACCATGACAAACCTGTTTCAATTCATTCCAGGCACAAATTAATCCATGCTGGATACCCTAACTGAATACCACCTAGAACTATGAGACCACCATAAGGAAATCATTCCAGGTTTTTTGTTGGTGTTCCTTGGTTGGCTGGCTGGCTTTGGTGTGCATGTCCACCAGCTCGGCTCAGGGCCCACCTTGTGGGCGTGGGAGGTCAGAAGATGGTGGGGACCAGTCCAGCGCCCTGCTTACTGTACTATCTCTCTGGCCCCTCACAAAGAATCTTTCTACAAATTTCAAGTAAAAAGAAAAAAAATCGAAGTTTACACAATGTTCAAATAACCCAATATAACAGAGTAAGTCCGGTGGGTAATTCCCAAAGGTCATTAGACCAAAATCTTCAAAGGTACATAGCAAAATCTGTGAAAAGTGCAACAAATAGTATAAATGTATTTTGTAGAGTTTCTCTTTAATATGTTTTCTTTTTCATATATACTAAAACATCCACTACCAAATGGTTTAGGTACGCAGAATAAAGTAAAAAGCATGGGACTTGTTTTCAATAAATCATCAGTCAAGCCTGAGCTACTGTATTTGATTCACCCATACCATCCACTAATTTAAAGGGCCTAGGCACTCCTGTTGCGGGAATACACACAATCCTGATGACACAGAGAAGGTCACTACTCTGCCACAAAATATACTCCGTAAGTTAAATATTTACCAACAGATACAGTATAGCAGGTAGGTTCCATCCACATGTGGTTCCCTGAGCCTGGCCAGGAGTGATCCCTGAGCACAGAGCCAAGAGTAAGCCCTGAGCACCGTGGCTGGATTCCAGTCCCGTAAGAAAAAAGTTATCTGTTTATATTTCGACACAAGGAAAAGTTCCTATTATTTTGTCATATTTAGAAGCAAATTAGTAACATGAGAAGGATCATGAATACACAAAGCGTTTTATGCTATATTGTCAGTTACATTGCTGACAGTCCCAACTGCAACCGGTCAGTTATTTCAGGAAGATAAAAGTAACCAACTTAGATGGAAGCTGGTCTTACAAAAAGGCAAGTGATAGACTGGTGCGGGGCCTGGGGCCACACCCGTCGGTGCTCACAGCTGACTCCCGACTCTGTGCTCTGGTCTACTCCTGTTAGGGTTCGGAGGACCACGCGGGATGCCGAGGATGGAACCGGGGCGGGAGCGCCCTAACATCTACAGTATCTCCCCGGGCCTCTGGGTTTCTACTTCTCGAGCTGGCGCAAAGTGTGAGTTGGAAGGAAGGGGGTGGGGAAACGGAGAAAAAGAAGAACGTGTTAATAATAACTCTGAGTGCGTGCTCCTTTCGCGACCAGCGCCGACAAAATCCGAGGATTTTGGAAGCCGCTGAAAGTGTGGCAGCGCTCCGGAGGGGCAGCCACACCCCCCGGCACCCGCCGCCCGGAGACGGCGCCGAGGCCTGTCCCCGCCCGCCCGCCCGCCTGCCGCCGACTCGGGCGCTCCCGGGCCGCGTCTCCCCGCAGCGGCCCCAGGGCGCCCCAGCCCGGGCGCTCCGAGCCGCGGCCGGGTGCGAGTGACCTTGGCCGAGTCGCGGCACCCCGCCCACCCCGCCCGGTGGACGCTCGGGCCGACCCGCGGCCTCGGCGGCCCGCGGGCGGCCCGGCCCGCGCGCCCCGGCCCCCGGCCCCGCGCCGCGCCCGCGCCCACCCACCTTGAGCAGGATGGACGGCGGCAGCTGGTTGATGTCGGGGGTGTCGGGGGGCGGCTCCCGGGCGCAGTCGCAGGGGCTCCCGGGGGGCTCCTGCCAGCCCGCGTCGCCGCCGTCGCGCTGCGGCGGCGGCGGCGAGGCCGAGGGGGCGGCGGGGGCGCCCTGCGCGGGCGAGGGGCAGCGGCCGGCGGCGGGGGGTCGCGGCGGGGAGGCGCCTCCCCCCGCCGGGCCGCCGCCCCCGCCGCCGCCGCCGCCGCCGCCGCCCCCGCAGCGGGGCTGCTTGCAGGGGGTGCAGGCAGGGAGCCCCGCGCCCTTGCGCTTGCACACCATGTCGGGGGGCGGCCCCGCGAGGCGCACGGGCCCCACGGCCGCCAGCACCAGGCCGCGGCCCTGCTGCTCCCAGGCGGCGGCGGCGGGCGACAGCAGGAAGCGGCGGGCGGCGGCGGCGCAGTGCTCGGCCGCCAGGGCCGCGAGCGGCGGCTCCTCCTCCGGGCCGGCGGGGGCGGGCGCGCCGTGCACGACGAAGCAGAGCATGCAGGGCCCGCGGAGCAGGCAGTCGCGGCGCCCGGCGCAGCAGCGCGGCCTCGGGCGGCGCGGGCGGCGGCGCGGCTCCCGCGACAGCAGGTGGCCCATAGGGAGGCCCGGCTACCTGCGGGCCGGGGCGCGGGCCGGGCGGCGCGGGCCGGCGCCGGGGCCCGCTCGGACCATTTTCACTGCGGCTCCGCCGGCGCGCGCCCGCGACCGCGCCGGGGGCCAGGGGCGCGCGGGACGGGGCGGGGCGCGCGGGCGGCGGGGACGGGGCCGGGGCGCGCGGGACGGGGCGGGGCGGGGCGCGCGGGCGGCGGGGACGGGGCCAGGGGCGCGCGGGACGGGGCGGGGCGGGGACGGGGCGCGCGGGACGGGGCGGGGCGGAGCGGGCGGCGGGGACGGGGCGGGGACGGGGACGGGGCGGGGCTGGGCGTGCAGCCGGACGCTGCCCCGAGCCCGACGCCGGCCCGGGTGCCGGGAGGCTGCGGGGCTGCGGGGCAGGTTCACGGCAGCGGCGTGGCACGGCCCGCGGAGGCGGCAGAGGCAGGGGCGTTCCCGCGCCGGCCGGGCTGACGTCGGAGCTGTGAGCCCAGAGCCATTGGCCGGAGCCGCGGCGCGCGGACCCGCCGCCGAGCTTGGCCCGGTTCCGCCGGAAGGGCGGTCCGGCCCGCCTCAGGCCTCGCCGCTCTCAGGCCCGCGGACGCACGCGACCCCGGCTTTCCCGACTTCATCCCGGATTAGGCGAGCTCCCGTCGCCGCACGCACCGCGGGCCCGGCTGCAGGCCCTCCCGTCGGGGGTCCCGGGGTCCACGGGCACAGGCTGCAGGCCCTCCCGTCGGGGGTCCCGGGGTCCACGGGCACAGGCTGCAGGCCCTCCCGTCGGGGGTCCCGGGGTCCACGGGCACAGGCTGCAGGCCCTCCCGTCGGGGGTCCCGGGGTCCACGGGCACAGGCTGCAGGCCCTCCCGTCGGGGGTCCCGCGGTCCACGGGCACAGGCTGCAGGCCCTCCCGTCGGGGGTCCCGGGGTCCACGGGCACAGACTGCAGGCCCTCCCGTCGGGGGTCCCGCGATCCACGGGCACAGGCTGCAGGCCCTCCCGTGGGGCCTGGCTGCAGGCCCTCCCGTCGGGGATCAGGCACTCTCTCGAGTGGTCCTGCCACCTTTCTGAGCAGTGCGGGAGTCCGGGAGCAAAGGGCTTTTCCATGTGGGCAGTGACGAATGGGGCTAGTGCAGGGCAGACGCGTCCCTACCTGGGCTGGAGAACTGTCACCTGGGGAAATCGGAAACGGATTAGATAACGGTGGGAAGGATCTTGCCCAAAGGAAGAGATAAGGAGAGTGGGAAAGATACATCCAAATGGAGAGGCATAAAATCTTGAATTTAGGCCATTAATCCAGTGTTAAGTAGGGAAAAGGAAGTTGGAGTAGGGGCTGAGAAGCCTTGACTGGGGTCTGGAGAGATAGTACAGGGCTAAAGCTTTGCCAAGAGTGATCCTGAGCATAGCTGGTGCGGACAAGCTCCCCATCACCACCACCTCCGCAGGAACACTTACTGGAATTTTAGGCACTTGTGTTTATGAATTAGCTAGAGACCTAGGAGTGATGGATAGGAAAGAAATAATCCCTGAGGGCTGGAGCAATAGCACAGCGGGTAGGGCGTTTGCCTTGCTTGCAGCCGACCTAGGTTCAATTCCCAGCATCCCATATGGTCCCCCCAGCACCGCCAAGAGTAATTCCTGAGTGCATGAACCAGGTGTAACTCCTGTGTGTCGGGAGATGTGACCCCCCCCCAAAAAAGAAGAAATTATCCCTGAATACCAGCGTGTGCAATCATGGATTCAATTCTAAATTCATTGTAAAATAATGGATTCTATAATATAAAATATTTGTGTATTTGAATACTTTACCACCGGTGGTACCATGGTAGACATTTGTTACTCGGTAAGCCGAAATACAGGAAGGCAGTATATAAACGTACTAAATTTATATATAAACTTCCTAAATTTATTTTTAAAATACTGACCAAAGAAAGTCTCTCTCTCTTGCTCTTGCTCACTCTTGTTTTTGCTCTCATTCACTCTCATTCTCTCTCTCTCTCTCTCTCTCTCTCTCTTAATCTCTCTCTCCCTTTTGCAGTTGAAGCTGTGTTTACACTCCCAGCACCACCAGAAGTGAGTCCTCAACCCCACCAACCAAACAAAAGTAAATGACACCCATATTTAAAGACATGGTGGCAGCTGAGCAGAGGTCTTATGCCTGGGATATGAGACCATACTTAGTCTAACATTGATTCCACAGCTGAAGAAGGAATGATGGATGGTTTCACATGGCACTTCCCGCCATACAGAAGCATCCAGAAATCACATAGTGCCACAATTCCGTACTGAATTGTGGTTTTGTTGAAAACTCAAGGCAACCAAAAAGTTCTGAGAATTTCCATCAAGATATCTATAATCTTAAATAATTTGTTTCAGGCACAGTCTGAATGTTTGGTTGCTGTCCGGACTTTTTCTCCATCAAAGCTCTTCTCGTGACAGATTCAAGTTCACTTTCCACATCTTGGATAACACCCAGTCACTTTAATTTGTACCCAGGTATACTCTAATTCAGCCCAGTTGATTTCTCTCCCAGCAGTTACCATAGCCCACACTTGTGTGATTTCAGATTCTTGAGTATACCTCAATCACTTCAATTCTATTAGATGTTGAGCCACAGCATCTAATGCTGTTTATCGATTATATTTTAAAGGGAGATTATCCTGGGTGGGCTGGATGTAATCAGATGCGGTTTTGATTTGTTTTGCTTGGTGCTCAGGGTTCATTTACTCCTGTTTTTTAAATGTTTTATTTATTGGATCACCATGAGATATGATTATAATCTTTCATGTTTGATTTACAATCACAATGATCAAACACCCATCCCTTCACCAGTGCACATTCCCCATCACCAAAATCCCCACCTTTCCCACCCTCCCACTGCCTCCGTAGCAGACAATTTCCCCCATTCTCTCTACTTTTGGGCATTATGGTTTGCAATACAGATACTGAGAGGTTATCAGGTTTGGTCTTTTATCTGCTTTTAGCACACATCTCCCCGAACGATCCCTCCAACCAGCATTTTCTTTGTGATCCCTTTTCTATTCCAGCTGATGAAATTCATGACTTCATCTCGCCTAACAGCTGCATAGTATTCCATTGTGTAGATGTACCAACGTTTCCTTAACCAGTTGTCTGTTCTCGGGCACTCAGGTTGTTTGCAGATTTTGGCTATTGTGAACAGTGCTGCAATGAACATATAGGTACAGATGTCATTTCTACTGTGCTTTTTTTGCACTTGGGAAATATTCCCAGAAGTTATATTGCAGGGTCATATGGAAGCTCAATTTCTAGTTTTTAAAGGAATGTCCATATTGTTTTCAAGAAAGGCTGGACCAGTCGGCTTTCCCACCAACAGTGAAAGAGCATCCCTTTTTCCCACATCCATGCTAGCACTGGTTGCTTTTGTTCTTTTGAATGTGTTCCAGTCTCTGTGGTGTGAGATGATATCGCATTGTTGTTATGATTTACATCGACCTAATGATTAGTGACGTGGAGCATTTTTTCATGTGTCTTTTGACCATTTGCATTTCTTTTTTGAGAAAGCTTTTGTTCATTTTTTCTCCCCTCTTTTTTATGGGGTTGGAGTTTTTTTTCTTGTACAATTTTACTAGTGTCTTGAATATCCTGGATATTAATCCCTTAACAGATGGGTATTGGGTAGTAAACAGCTCACTATTGAACAACGAGTGGCTTAGGAAGGAAATCAAAGAGAAAATCAAATGATTGCTGGAAACAAATGAAAATGAGGACATAAATTACCAAAACTTATGGGACATAGCAAAAGCTGTTTTAAGAGGAAAGTTTATAGCTCTACAAGCATTCCTCAGGAAGGAAGTGCGAGCCCACATAAGTAACCTAACATCACAGCTTAAGAGCTTGGAGAATGACCAACAAAAGAAGCCCAATTCCAGCAGGAGGAAGGAAATAATAAGACTCAGGGCAGAAATTAACTAGATGAAAACACAAAAAACAATTCGAAAGATCAATGAAACCAAGAGCTGGTTCTTTCAGAAAATAAACAAGATTGGTTCATTTACTCTTAACTGGGCTATGGGACCTCTTCTGGTAAGGCTCTGGGGACCAAATATGGTATGGACCCAGGTTCGATATTCCTAGTACCACGGGAGTAATTCCTGAGTGCAGAGCTAGAAGTAACCCCTGAGCATTGCCAGGTGTGGCCCAAAAGTCAAATGTAAATAAAACTGAAAGATCTTGTGCCAGTGAGATAGGCCAGATCTTGTAGTGTGTAGGGCAGAACTCTAAAAGAAGGAAAATATGGGGATAGGGGTTGAACGGATGATGCGCAGGGTTGGGGGTCAAACCAGAGCTGCTGGGGTCCGAGGCACACCATGGCCCCTGTTCTACGTGGCCCTGAAAGAAATCTTGTAGTGAGCCTAGTAGAAATCAGAGGTTCAGACAGCAGCCAGTGCTCTGCTGTTGACCGTGAAAAAGAAGCAAACTCCAAAGTTCCTGGGAAGCATCAGGTGACATCTAAAACTCAGTCACCCCTTGCAGATGCTATAGAGTCAGTCCACAATACTACAGAGTTCTGAATTCTGCCAGCCAAAAGAGGACAGTCCTGTTGACACTGATTTCGACCCAGCAGATAATTTCCTTAAGCCTATACCTTTACTCTTGACTTGAAAACCACCAAGCAATATATAGGTATTGTTTTTAATCACTGTATTTATGGTATATGTTGTTGCAGAAATAGGAAATGTATTCAGTCACCAGAGCACTTAGGTAAAGGTAAGGTAAAGGCCCTCCCGTTGATCGTCGATTTGCTCAAGCGGGCCCAGTAACGTCTCCATTGGAGACTTTGTTGTTACTGTGTTTGGCATATCGAATACTCTCGGTAGCTTGCCGGGCTCTCCGAGAGGGGCGGAGGAATCGAACTCGGGTCGGCCACGTTGGCTGCTTGTAAGGCGAACGCCCTACCACTGTGCTATCGCTCCAGCCCGGTAGCTCGCCGTGATCATATAGTGGTTAGTACTCTGCGTTGTGGCCGCAGCAACCAGAGCACTTAATGCAGTTTAATAGGAGAAATTAAAACAACTCTCCCAAGAGTAATTCAAGACCAAAAA